AACAATCGCAGAAACTCTCCCTTACACAATCTCTACCGCGATTTATTTGGTGAGTTGAGGTCTTTTTCTTAGACTTTTGGAGAAAAAGGATTTATTTGGAGAAGAAAAAAATGACTAAGATTTTTTTCTCAATAAATACATGTTTCACTTTTTATTTCCGTGTTTCCTTTATTTTTCTCTTTTTTTCTCTATTCTCCTCCTTTTTTCTCTATTTCTCTCGTTTTTCTCTCTTTTTTCTTTATTTCTTTCTTTATTTTCTAAATTATAAATTAATTCTAAATAATTATATTAATAATAATAATAATAATAATAATAATAATAATAATAATAATAAATATAATAAAATTATCTAAAACCAAAATAAAAATTAAATAATAATAAAATAATATTTTAATTATTATAGAGTGTTACAACACACTTCTTGCTTTGACTTAATAATAAGGGTGAGTGGGATGAGTCATTCTCAATAGTAGGAGATGTGGTAAACCTATCACATTCGGAGTCTTTCAACTATTTTGGGGCTTGACATGTTTTTTTATTAGTTACCAAAAAAGAGTATTGGGCTGGACTAAATTATGTGTTCACCACCCAACTCCTGTTGTTTAGCACCTCTATATTATTTGAGGGTAAGAGGGTTGAAGGAACGCCAAAGTAACCTCTACATTATTTGAGGGTAAGAGAGTTGAAGGAACTAGTTCTTTGGACATGCCAAAGATATTTTATTTTACGGTCTCTTAAACACGAGGTTTGTAAGAGTGATATGATTTGAGTATTACATTTAAGATTGGCCTAACGCATTTTGAGGTTTGAGGCAAAAATTAAATTAAATATTTTAATATAAAAAAATATTTTTTATTTTAGATTAATGATTTTAAATTTTAAATTTTTTAAAATATAAAACTGTTAAATTATTCTAATCAATTTTATTTTCAATTGAAAAAAAAATAAAAAAATTTAAACACTCTACTAATCATTTTAAAAAAATCATAATTAAAAAATTATCAAAGTTCTTAAAAAAAAAATTTAATTCCAAATATTCTTTTATAAAAGAGAACTTAAAAGTTTATTATTGATAAGTATGTCTTTTAATAGAACCATCTCTATCAGTGTATAAAATAGATTATCGGATAGAGGTCAAAATTTTTTAAAGTTTAGTCACACGCGCATCCATGTTCTGTAGTATTAAATTCTTTAATAATAACGGTAGTTATAAGCAATTTGCATTGGAATAAGAATAACAGGGCAGTAAATGAACTAACAATAACAATAAAAAGGACTAAAAAATATTTATTATATTTAAACGATAACAAATAAGTTCCTATTTATTTTTCGAAATTAAATTTTGATTAACTTACACGAAATCTCTAAAAACTTAAGACGTTCTTAAATTATAAATTAATCAATTATAAAATATAGATCTTAAATAATTTTTATTATCATAAATTTTTTTAATAGATATTATTATACAATTGGTATAGAAAATCATTTAGATTTTAAAATATCAACTAATTAGAACAATATAAATATTTTTCAAAAAAATGAGCCCTAAGCAGTATCTTTGGTGGCCCTAAGTAGTATCCTTTCCAGCCCTTTAAATATTTTTGAGAGGATAATTTAAAAAAGAGAAAAATAAATAACTATAATATAAAATATTTTTACATTATCAATCCACCCAATACACTTTTAATTTTTAAATACTATTTTACACTAATCTCTTTAAAAAAATAAATAACACTGCATTTTTGTCTTTTATTTAAATGTGTTACACCAATAAAAGAGGAAGTAAGATAAAATATTGAATACATTTGTTGGTGCCACCTATATGGTATAGAATACTAAGAGCATTTTTAATTAGAGTAAACTAAATGAATAAATTAAAATATTTTTTGTGGGTCCAAGGTATTTTGTAAGATTTAAAAAATTTATAATTGATTTGAGTAGTTTTTACTTTAATGATAATTGTCTATAAGAAACCAAAACGTTACCCCACATTTTATATTTTTTATTCAAGTTATCATTAATTTAATTATTTTAATTAAAATGCATACAATTTTTTTAATAAAATTTATCTTAAAACTTAGAAATAATATTAAATATATTTTATTATAAAATTAAAAATGATACAAAATTCACAACAATAATACATAAAAAAAATTACATTTTCATAGGAATATAAAATAATACATGACAATAAAGAGTACCATAAGACCCTTATGATTTAACTTTAATCCTCATGTTTCTCTTTAATACGCACAAAGTAGAGTATGATTTAACTATAAGTCTCATGATTTCTCCACCATACACACAACTCATGAAGAGTACTATATGACCATTGTGATTTAACTTTAACCCTCATGTTTTCTCTTCTAGAAACCTCATGATTTAACTCTAAATCTCATGATTTTTCTTCAATAAATCCTATAATTGTGAAAACAACATAAAAGACTCAATTTGGTGGTAAATATATTGAATCAAATGTCTCATCTTCTACAACTATAAATAAAATGTCATATTGAACTTTATTTTTGTTTATATAAAACTACCCCAAACCTTGAAGTTAAAATTTTTATGTTTATTTGCGTATTTTTTCACTTTTAAAGTTCATTTTCATTTAAAGATTCCTTAAGTTATAAGTTAAGGTATTTTATATGCATGTGGTTTAAAGTTTTATGTTTTTAAACCAAAGTTTTAAAAATTCATGTTAGTATTAGTTTGTTTGGTCATGGTTGATTTATTTTGTATTTGAATTAGTGTGTACATAATTGATTTTGATATAATTGAGTTTAGTAGAATTGATTTTAATAGATTTAAGTTTAGTAAAATGTGTTTATGTTTGGATACATTCATGTAAAAGTGATTTAAAATCAAAAGTTACTTTAGAAAAATCAAACACTTTAAATTTGTGTTATTTAGAAAAAAACATATAAACATGTTCCATTGAAATATTTTGCTAGTATTAAATAATATTATAATATATTTCCAATTGAATAGTTAACATTAACGGTATAGATAATCAAAACTAAATTTTAGTTCATTAGATATCATGTCAGCTCTACTATAATGCAAAATTTTTATTACTAAGTACTAACTTAAATTATACAAAATTTTAGTTTAACAACGCTAAAGTTGCTCTAATATAGCGACAAATACGCAACAATTATATATAATAAGAGCAACTTTAACGTATAGTTGTTAAACCAAACTTTTGTATAACTTACTTTAGTTATTAGGAATTATATTGTGACGGTTTGGATATTGATTGTCACGTTGTCCGTCAACAACTACAAGCCGGCCTTTTTCATTTACTTCTAACAATCAACTGGCAGACTTGTTCACCAAACCGCTGGAACCGCAACCATTTTCTGCTATTTTTGTTAAGCTGGGACGGTTAAACATAGCTTAAAAAGAGCTATTAGGAATTAATTACTTGATATTTTCTTCTTATTTGCTAGCCTTAGGATTTAATTGCCTATTATTTCTTTCCTTTTTCTAGCCTTATTTTGCTTCCTATTTAGGCCAATTTCCTTCTTATTTGCTAGCCTTAAAATTTAATTACCTATTATTTCTTTCCTTCCTATTTAGGCTCATTTCCTTCTTATTTGTTAGCCTTAGGATTTAATTACCTATTATTTCTTTCCTTCCTATTTAGGCTCATTTCCTTCTTATTTGTTAGCCTTAAGATTTAATTACCTATTATTTCTTTCCTTTTTCTAGCCTTATTTTCCTCCCTATTTAGATTTTTAAGTTTGAATTCCTTATTCCTTCTTATTTGTTAGCCTTAGGATTTAATTACCTATTATTTCTTTCCTTCCTATTTAGGCTTATCTTATTTGTTAGCCTTAGGATTTAATTACCTATTATTTCTTTCCTTCCTATTTAGGCTCATTTCCTTCTTATTTGTTAGCCTTAGGATTTAATTACCTATTATTTCTTTCCTTTTTCTAGCCTTATTTTTCTCCCTATTTAAATTTTTAAGTTTGAATTTCTTATAAACAATTAGGATTGCTTAAATCCTTCATGTCAATTTGTACCCACGTAAAATAATTTACTTATAAACAATTAGGATTAAAGTTGCTTAAATCCTTCATGTCAATCGTAAAATAATTTACTTCCATTAAAGATGCTCTAAGTGACAACAACTTTTCGGCAGAATATATTTTCTTTAACTAGTTTGGTGGAATATTAAACGGATATTAAATATATATAAAATAAAATAAGTAAATTGAAAACCTTATATATAACAGAAAATTGGACACGATTTGTTTGATTAAAAGATTAATTAATATAATCTTTTCATTGTCTTGTATTATTAATTGAGACTTAAAAATTAAATACACATGTTAAAAATTTATGTGTTCACCAATTTATATAAATCGTACAGTAAATATTGGAATGGTGGGGAAATGGAGAGATTAAGGACGGTTTGATTTAATTTTTAATTTTTAAAAATTCTATTACAAATCAGTTTTAAAAATGGTTTTTAAAAAAGAAGAAATTATAAAAAAAAATGGTTTAATAATATAATTTTTGAAAACTGTTTTACAAATGAGAAAATAAAAAACTTGTTTGATAGTTTTGAGTATTTTCGTTATGAATTTTAGTTAAAAATTTGAAAAGTAGAAAATAAAAGCATGTATTCCCTGTTTCTGCTTCTCCATTGGAATTGGAATTAGAAACAGTTGATACAGATTTAATTTGTTCAAGAATTGATGCAGTTTTTTTTTTCATTTTTAATAACAAAAAGTATCATATGCAAATATAACATAAAATTGTTCTAGGTTTCAAGAAAAATACATAAATCACAACAATCATAAAATCGGTAAAATCTACCACTTTCTTACCAGAAATTGTATCTCAACAAAACCAACATTTTATTCTCTATTTTAAGGGAATAGATAAATTTCAACAATCATAAAATCTGTAAAATTTGTATAAAATCATCTCAATATTTATGATTATGGTAAAGGAGGAGAAAATACTTGAGACATTGCACTATTGCACTATTTCTTTACTGCGCCATTTTTCAACTCATCTTGCACCCAATTGTTGAGTCGACTATGACACGATAATGCATCCTTTATAGCAGTAACAGTTTCCGTAATGATCCCATATATAGTTTGAACTGATTCAGAAGGGATACTTGTAATATTGGTAGCTTTATCAATAAGATGAAATGAGATAGTTAGAAGACTTTCATTGCTACCAGCATTATTGCCATTATCTTTCGGTAACCCTCCCGGAATAATAGCAAATCCAGAAGGAAATGCAATAACATTGTCTGGGTTCGATCCTTTTGCAAGATGAATCAATGCCGATTCGTCTAATGGTGTATAAATCACGTAGGAAGTTGTCGCGTCTGCGTAACTCTTTTGCAGGTAAAAGATTTCAGTCTTGTCCTTAGAATCCTATCATTGGCAAGTCAAAGAAAGTTAAATTTTAATGGCAAGAGTTTCACTTTTTAATTTGAATGATAAATAGAAGAAATTAAGCTTACACTTGCTCGCAGCAAAGAAACACGATTCTCTAGATGTTCGCCGATAGTCATGCATGCAAATTGTTCAATTGAAAGTGTTTGTGAAAGTATATCCCACTACAAATAAATGATAATAATTAAAATTGTACTAACATTACTATATTGATTGATTTGTTTAGTTTTTGAACGTACCTTGTTTCTGGACTTCTCATGGCGAAGGAAGTTGAATAATTGATTTGGGGAGATATTAAACCAAATAGTAGTAGAAAAAACTATTGTTGTTCCAACAAGGTTAATTGAAGTATTAGGCATAATATTCTGAATCATAACTCTAACATCAGTTGAATTGGGAAAGGGAGCAAGTCGCATCCATGGATTGGTCGTTGTAGCACTGAGATTCCCACAAAATTTTCTCATCATTCTATCAGCCAGTTTCAAGAAACTTGTTCTTCCAGTTTGAGGTATAAAAACTGTTTTTGTCAAAAAAAAGAAAGAAATAAGTCAATGTGTTAATGTGTGTCTCCTGTCTATGTCTTTTATAGATTACTTACAAACATTTTCGACTTATCTCCCATTTGAACTCTAAATTATCGAAGAAATCGAAAGATTAAAACAGAAAAACAAGTAAAGTTTTTCTATGGAAGCGACTCATGGATAGACTAACCCAATCAACTTCTTTAACCATTCTTAAATATAAAAAAGAATAAATACCCAATTTAAAAGACCAAATTGAGCATATAATCATTTACCTATAATAAAATAGTCATTATAGAATGTAAGGTATTTATGAAAGGAAAAATATTTTTATAGTTCAGAACAAAGAAAAACATACCCTTCTTATCAGAAAAAAATTGTGTAGTCATAAGTGTTTCAGCCCACTCAAAGTGTCGAACAATGGAAGCTAGCCATCGCGTTGCACCAAAAGCCAAGCCAGAGGTTACTAATGGCTTGAAAAGATCATTCAATTGGCTATGATCTGCTTCCACATGCTCCACCCATGTAACCTAAATTGAATACAACATCAAACTTATTATTAAGCATTAATAAAAAGTATGAATATATTTTACTTATAATTGAGATTGAAATGAGTATAAGTATAAAACCTTAGAGTATCCATTAGGCATTCCTTTAATCATACAACCTGAAGGTCTTTTTCGAAAATTGGTAGATGGATAAGGGAAGAGGTCCTCCAAAGATACATCAACAACAACCCAATCATTAGGAGACAATTGTTTGCAGTATCTTACAAAACAACACTCTCGAGTCGGTACCACTGGACTAGGCAAATGAAATTCTGCATTCATCTACAATGAACAAACAAATATAATGCAATTAAGATGAAAAATGCTTCAAAAATAATCAGAAGTTATATTATTTAATACATGACACTAATTTTGAAATCCTAATAGCCATAATTGTTGGAGAAAGTACATCTCTTAAAGATATTATGTTGTTATAAAGTTATAATCCTAATTAATATCATAGAATATTTAGCATTTCTCTTATGATAATATGTTCTACGATATATATACACATAGCTCCTAATATTGTTGGAGGAAAATCTCATTGATTGCAATGCATTAATTCATAGAATCAAACCATTATCATAAAATCTTTGATGATATTTAATTTCCTATATCTACAACAACAAATGAATTCTCAATTTCTTCACTAAAAGATTTGCTTGCAAGAAAATAGCATAATAATAACAAATTTCTTCACTAAAAGATTTGCTTGCAAGAAAATAGCATAATAATAACAAATTTACCACATGCAATCTCCCATCATAACTTCCTTCGACTCCATTCATAAAGCTTCCAAGAATTGTTGCTCTTGAAACAATGTTGTGAAATGTCATCCCCCATTGATTCTAATTAATAGTAAAATAAAAATATTTCAAAGAGAGTTACTAATGTTAATTATTGATTGCACTATAATAAAACCAAAAACAAATAAATAAACATGATTGAAGGAGAACAAAACCTACCACATTCATAAGTAATTCAACAATGTCATTCGGACCGGCGTTAATCATTGCTGTATCTCGCGAAGCTTCGATTTGTAACCCTTGTACGGAATTTTCATTTGAAATTGAATTGATCTGATTTCCATACAAATCAAAGCTAGGTAAAGCTTGAACTTCTCCGACCTCAGCCAATTTAACAATATCCATTAACGTCGTATCAATCCGACCAACATATTTCAAATATTCAATACCGTTAAGAATTTCGTATCGATTTGAATTATGTTGATGCCATAAAGGTTTACCTATAATTCCCATATTGCACAATTCATTCATAGCTAAACCCGCACGATCAAGGATTTTAAAACTGATTGGTTCAGCGAACATTGAGACGCCTAGAAGAAGATCACTTGCCCGTTGCATATTGAGTGAGGAGGTTTTGACACAAAGTTCAAAATTTTAAACCCTAAATTTTGTTTGTATCCTAATTGTCAATCATTAGATAAATAAAAAACTAATTTATATATTTAAAACCTAATGGGCTTCTGTAATTAAAGTTTGTTTAGCGGATTCCTTTGTAATCAAACTAAAATAATAATTAATATAATAAAACTAAAATAACGGTAAAGAAAAAGAAAAGAAGAAAAGAAGAAAAGCCCCTTTCGCTGTTTCGCACTCGCTAGGGTTTTCTCAATTCGCATCTCAGTTTTCCGATATTCTCCATGGATGAGGTAACATCGACTAAACTTCCACATTAATTTTATATCAGATTATTTTGTGTGTTTTCTTCTGATGAATTTTGATTTGTTGTTATTCAATTTTGATTTTTCAGGAATTAAGAGTTGTTTGATTTTCCGAGGTCAGTGGAGTTTGATTGGTTAATTGGTAGAGAATGAAACAAAGTCTGAGAGGCATTTGACTTCTGCTGCTGCTGCTGCTTCCACACCAACCTCGACTATTCTTTATGCCAACAAAAATAATACACGGGGAAAAGGTAAAGGAAATTCCGAGACTCCTATGCTCTGCACCAATTGCAACAAAACCAATCACACAGTGGAAACCCGCTACTTCAGGCGTGGTTTTCCACCTGGATACAGAAATAAGAATGCCAAGAATGCTTCAGATGTTAAGATGTTTCTTACACAATTCCTGTCAAATTCAGGATGTGTCTACCAAGCAAATTATTGGACATGTGACTCAACTTCATAACCTTTACATTCTTCACAGGACCCCTATTCATGCTTCAACCAATGATACTTCTTGTAGCTCTGTTAGCATTACTGAAAATGTTAGCATTGACACTGCCCTATGGGACCATATATTAGGTCACCCTTCTAGTGAAGTTTTACATAATATGTCTCAACAATTTTTTGTCATCACATATAATAAGAAACCCCCTTGTAACACTTGCCACTTGGCGAAGCAATGTAAGCTTTCATTTCCTTTAAGCACTTCTGTTACTTCTAATTGTTTTAATTCAATTCATATGGACATATGGGGGCCCATATCCGTTCCCTCTTTAGATGGTTTTCACTACTTTTTAACCATTATGGATGATTTTACAAGATATACTTAGACTCTTCTTGTGAATAATAAATTTGAAACTAGAATTCACATTGAGCATTTTATCTCATATTCTCAAACTCAATTTGCTTGTAGAATCAAAACTATTAGGAGTGGTAATGGAAGTGAGATAAAACATAGGCATCTCCTCAATGTTAATCAACCCCTCTTATTTCATGCTCACTTGCCTAAATGTTTTTGGTCTTATTCCCTATGCAATGCCACTTACTTTGATCAACAGACTATGCAGTCCTATTTTACACAATCACACTCCCTATGAGCTTCTCTTTAAAACACCTCCATCTTTCACCAACCTTAAGACTTTTGGTTGCCTTGCTTATGCATCTACCTTAACCAGACGTAGAGATAAACTGGACCTTATTTCCACTAAATGTCTTTTCTTAGGTTTTACAATGGGTATCAAAGGTTTTCTCCTCTCTGAACTTAACATCAGATCTATTTTTACCTCTAGGAATTGTGTTCTCAGAATAATCCTACTTCACCTACCACCTTTATTTCATCTCATATATAACATGTGCATCATTCTCCCACTGAAAATTCACAACCTCTTGGATTTCCACCCATCACAATCCTTTGAAAATCTACCAGAAACAAGTCTGCCCCTGCTTAATTGAAAGGTTTCATTTGCACTACTTCTCATACTAATACGCTGCATGATATTTCTAAATATGTTTCATATAATACTCTTTCTCCTGCACATTTCACTTTTATTTCTGCTATATCTACTGCTTGTAATCCTGTTTCATACAAGCAAGCCAGTATTCATCAACACTGGATTAAAGCCATGAATGCTGAGATTCAGGCCCTCACAGATAACAACACCTGGATATTCACTACTTTATCACCAGGTAAGAAAACCATAGGCTGTAAACGGGTTTACAAATCCAAATTTCATTCAGATGGCACATTAGAAAGGCATAAATCAGGGTTAGTTGCTCAAGGTTTCAACCAAATCCAAGGTATTGATTTCTTTGATACTTACTCTTCTGCTGCTAAGCTCACAACTGTAAGACTAATTCTTTCTCTTGCTTCTTCATTAAATCTGCATCTTCACCAACTTGATGTCCATAATGCCTTTCTCCATGGTGGTTTGAAAGAGGAAGTGTACATGTCTCTACCAAAAGGCATTACACCTTCTTATCCAAATCAAGTTTGCAAACTTCTTAAATTAATTCATGGTTTAAAATAGTCTAGTAGAAAATGGTTTGAGAAATTATCCAAAATCCTTTTAGCACACCAATTTACTCAATGTTCCTCTGATCATTCTCTCTTTATACATCAATCTCAATCTCAATTTACTTTCATACTTATCTATGTTGATGGCCTTCTCATTGCAGAAAGCAATTTAGGTGTCATCAACAAAACCAAGCAATTACTACAAAGTCACTTTCACATCAAGGACCTTGTAACTCTGAAATATTTTTTAGGCTTTGAAGTAGGAAGAAGAAAATCTAGAATCAACATTAATCAGCGTAAATACACTCTGGATCTTCTCTCAAATGCAGGTTTACTTGGATGTAAATCGGCTTCTACACCTATGGCTCGTGACACTAGATTAAAGACAACTGATGGAACTCCCTTGCTAGATCCTTCCAAGTATTGAAGACCTGTTGGAAAACTCATATACTTGCTAAGCACAAGACCTGACATATCATACTCCGTGCAACAACTCAGCCAACATGTGAGTAAACCTACTGATGTTCACTACAGCACAATTATTTGTGTGCTCAGATACCTTAAATCATCTCTAACTCAAGGACTTTTCTTCCCCATCACTTCTAGCTTACAACATAAAGCCTTTTCTGACTCGGACTAGGCTACATGTTCTGAAACACGTAAGTCTATTACATGATTCTGATTTATCTAGGTGAGTCATTGATATCATGGAAATATAAGAAGCAAGCCATTGTTTCACGTAGCTCCACTGAAGCAGAGTATCGCTCCATAACCTCGAATGTTTGTGAGTTACAATGGTTAACTAATTTTCTCCATGAACTCCTGATTCCTTTCAAACAACCTGCTTTGTTATATCGTGATAATGCCTCAGTCACTCACATTGCCAACAACTCTTCTTTCCACGAACAAACCAAATACATCGACCTAGGTTGCCACATTGTTCGTGAAAAACTCCAACAACGTCTCTTTCACCTCCTTCATGTTTCATCTTCTCAACAACTCGTGGATATGTTTACCAAACCGTTGGATGTTTCTCTGTTTCTTTCTAATATTAGTAAGCTTGGGTTACATCCCATATACCCCTAAGCTTATGGGGGTATTAGATACATAGATTTATCGGGCTTGTGTTATATTAATTGGGCCTTATGGTTTATGATTGTAACTAGGCCCATGATTGTATTCATACATATATATTTTTTAACTCTCCTTCATTTGGCAAGAGGGTAATTAGTTTTCAAAATACATCTTCTTCTTGGCTGCCACCAATGGCTTAAGATGACTTTGCCACTTGTAATACATAATTAAAAATTAAGCAACGTAAAAAAATATCAATACAATTTCAAAATAGAAACAAGAAATAAACTTAAACAAAATATAATTGTATTATTTAAGTTGAAGTGTAGCAAGAATAAGAACAAAACTAAAGCAGATGATTCAAACTCCTCCGATGTTAACACAAAGGAATGTGGAAGGTGGAATGATCCTACTTCACCTACCACCTTTATTTTATCTCATATATAACATGTGCATCATTCTCCCACTGAAAATTCACAACCTCCTTAATTTCCACCCATCACAACCCTTATAAAATCTACTAGAAACAAGTATGTCCCTGCTTACTTGAAAGATTTTATTTGCACTACTTCTCAAACTAATACTCTGCATGATATTTCTAAATATGTTTCGTATAATACTCTTTCTCCTGCACATTTCACTTTTATTTATGTTATATCTACTGCTTGTAATTCTGTTTCATACAAGCAAGCCAGTATTCATCAACACTGGATTAAAGCCATGAATGATGAGATTCAGGCTCTTACAGATAACATCACCTGGATATTCACTACTTTATCACTAGGTAAGAAAGCCATCGGCTGTAAACGGATTTACAAATCCAAATTTCATTCAGATGGCACATTGGAAAGACACAAATCAAGGTTAGTTGCTCAAGGTTTTAACCAAATCCAAGGTATATATTTCTTTGATACTTACTCTCCTGTTGCTAAGCTCACAACTGTAAGACTAATTCTTGCTTTTGCTTCTTCATTAAATCTGCATCTTCACCAAATTGATGTCCATAATGCCTTTCTCCATGGTGGTTTAAAAGAAAAAGTGTACATGTCTCTTCCAAAAGGAATTACACCTTATCCAAATCAAGTTTGCAAACCTCTTAAATCAATTTATGGTTTAAAATAGTCTAGTAGAAAATGGTTTGAGAAATTATCCGAAATCCTTTTAGCACGCCAATTTACTCAATGTTCCTCTGATCATTCTCTCTTTATACATCAATCTCAATCTTAATTTACTTTCATACTTATCTATGTTGATGGCCTTCTAATTGCAGAAAACAATTTAGATGTCATCAACAAAACCAAGAAATTACTACAAAGTCACTTTCACATCAAGGACCTTGGAACTCTAAAATATTTTTTAGGTTTTGAAGTAGCAAGAAGAAAATCTAGAATCAACATTAATCAGCGTAAATACACTCTGGATCTTCTCTCAAACACATGTTTAGTTGGATGTAAATCGGCTTCTACACCTATGGCTCGTGATACTAGATTAAAGACAACTGATGAAACTCCCTTGTTAGATCCTTCCAAGTATCGAAGACATGTTGGACAACTCATATACTTGCTAAACACAATACCTGACATATCATA